CCCGGAGCACCATGCTTCACAGGTACGCTATTTTTCCTTCACTTTTTTAATTTTGAGGTTCTGAGAAAAAAGGGGATATTATGTAATATGTATGAAACATATAAAGTGGGTTTGGCCAACCTTCTATATCAGCACTGCCTGTTTAGTGGGAAAAATCCTTGGCCAGCTGGACAATTAACCTGTCTCATGTGTGGGCCCTTTTTTATTAGAAAAAATTGGTCCTCTTGGGCCTGCTTGGCACAGCTAGGAATTTATTGTTACCTGAAAATCATGCTTCTTGTTTTCTTCTTTCCTCTCTTTTATTTGTTTGTTTGAGTTGTGTGATAAAGGTAGTCTGTTGATGACGACATGGGGACTTGATGCCAGACTACGAGTTTATAGCTAGATTCTCGACTATTAGATCAAGTCCCTGATTATTACGACTGCATGAAGACATATACGTGAAACAGACAGTCCTGACCACCAATTTGCACTGAAATTCTGTTTTTTATGAATAAAAATCTCTTGCTGATACAAGGGATGCTAAGCCAAAAGCTTTTCAAGGAACGTAATCTGGTAATCAGATTGATTTAGTCAGACCAATGACCTCCCTAGGCAAATTTCAAACAATGCTTAAGCAGCAAAAAGTTTCAATTCTTCTGAATACATATTTGTTTTTAGTCATGTTGTGTGAAAGAATGTCCATTATTATCCACGTTTTCTTATTGTCTCTCAGATTGCAAATGCTGTGATAGTGGCTAGGCATCTTGGAGCAACACTTTTGCTTCCTGACATCAGAGGAAACAAACTAGGGGAAAAAAGGTCAGTCCTTGCACATATCAACAAGAATCTACAAGTATATTTTCTTTTAGATCGTTGATGGTCCAAAAAATATGTCAGAGCCATCAATATTTAATCAGACCAATATCTCATATATAATGCTACAAAACCTTTAACATCAAAAGTGTCTTGTGAATATCAAATTGAATAACAAATGAATTAATATAAGCAATGTTCACCGGCAATGAAATCTTAGGTTGAATACATAACACGGTTATTGTTCTCAGAATTTTGTTTCATTTGATATGCTTCCTATTTGATGGTGTGCGCGTGTTTCATGAGCCTAGTAAAAGAAAGTTATAAAGAAAACTCTTAACAAAAGTTCTATCATATTTGAATCCGTTTCAGATACTTTGGAGAAATTTACGATGTCGAGAAGTTTGTGGCAAGCCTGGATGGAATAGTCCAAGTAGCCAAGGTTAAGCCTGCCGGAATATCAAACATGAAAGTCACTGATGTGAGAGTCCCTGATAGGGTTTCCGAGGATTTCATTACTTCCACAATCAAACCCATATTTAGGACTAAAAGAAACTTGAGGCTTGCAACTTACTTCGATGTGTCATCTGTGGAAAAGTCGAAAGAAACCATGCACTCAAATGCATACCAATGCCTGGCTTCATTTGGAAGTCTCAAGCTGCAATCGGATTTGATTGAATTGGTTGATTCAATGGTTGGGACACTACGGAGCATGAGCCAGAAAATGGGTGGGCGCTTTGTGGCAATTGACTTGAGGTTTGATATGTTGGGAAATAAGAGGTGCCATGAAAATGTTGTTTCAAGTAAACGATGTTATAATGCTGAAGAAATTGGTGAATTTCTCAAGAAGATTGGTTTTCACAAGGAAACAACAATATACTTGACTCAAACTGGATGGCATAGTAGGCTTGATGCATTGAGAGATATTTTCCCCAACACATTTACAAAGGTAATGCCTGCCCTTGTATTCTGAATCTTAGTAGAAGATATTATAGCTTTTAATTTCATTATGGCCCATCTGCATATAATGCTTATCTTAGTTCGTGCTCTTCTTGTCATCCTACATGAGCTGCCGTTTCAAATGATCCCATGTGGAGGTTTCTCTACATTTCTTGTATATCAATTGAAGAAAGATGAACTTTTTAATGTACGATCAAATTTAAATGATCCTGCTAATGGATAATTTTTTAAAAACGTCTAGAATCCATTTTAACTAAATTGCATAACTTCTTTACTGATTAACCAGTTGTTACTTTATTTTTTGTTCTCAGTTCAGTAACTTCACTGTATGCCTTTGAAATTGTAATAGGACGCAATTGTGCCTGCATATGAGAGGGCAAAATTCATGGGCGCAGAGGGTCGTGAATATGAACGATTCATCGACTTCAACATATGCTCACAAAGTGATGTCTTTGTACCAGCGTACCGCAGCCGATTCTATGCCAGTGTAACAGGGAACAGAATAGCTTCTGGCAAAACACAAATAATTGTTCCTGCGGAGAAAACTTCAGAGATGGCCAATCACTATCTTTCCCCCTACATAGCCAAAAAAAGCCATTTTGCACATTCTTGTTTCTGTTTTTAACTGAAATTTGTATTGCGTCGTCGCAATCATGTTTGATTATGATTAAACCGCTCTAGAAGTGTTGCCGATAACTTGACATTCCTCTTAACTGCAAATGTGATTTTTCCAAAAATGTTCAATGAGTGGTGCTGTATGATTTTCTATTATCATGTTACTTGATTATACGACGTTGATCAAAGTGCTCAAATTTCACTTTCTTAAATGTAACATATACCAACCAATAATGATTTAAAGAATTGCCTAATATTTGTGTTGGTACCTATCCAATGCATAAATTCTTGTCAAAACTAGAAAATATTTCATCTGCGGCCGCCGAACTATATTGGCATTGTTCAGCTGCGTGACCATCAAGAGAAAAGATTCAGACTCGGTGCATTTTTATTAATCTGGGTTCAAGAGTTGAGGAAAACACAAATGCATCAAACTTATATAAGGCACATTTATCATGCTATAGACACTAACTTTTATTTAATCGATGTTTGGCACGAATAGCAACTGGGATTAAATCTGGATTAAATTAATCTGGTCAGATCTTAACTCAATGGGATGAATTATATCCTTATTTTTATTTAAATGTTTTAGCTATTGACAATTTAAAAAATATAAATTAATTAAAAACTTAGCGAAAACAATATATAATTGTTGGTTAAAGTGAAATAAAGAATTTCTAATGTTTAAAACTATTTAAAATTAAAAATGGTGTCGAAGGTGTTTCGACAGTTTGAAACTCTATTAAGGCTTGCTTGAAAGTTTTTTTTAACTGATTTTGACTTTTATGGTGTTACCATTAATAAGAGGTTAGAAAAATCAGCGTTTTTTAGTTTATTTGTGCACTATATTGGAAACCACCCAAAACCAGTATAGTATGATTTGAGTTGCATCAAATCGATATTTTTTGGTCTTTTTCAAAATTTCTTTCAATTTTACCCTTTTAAAACAATTATTTTACAAGACAAAAAATCAATTATCACCTTCCTCTTAAAAGAGAGGATGCGATTTTCACTGTTCAATACGTGCCCTTCCTTTCACACTTGAACTGGTTTTTATCACCTTCACAACTGGTTTTTTATTTTTAACTGTTTAAATGGTTATATATCACATTAGTTTTTTTGGCTTTTTAAATATATCAAATAAGTTAATTATTAATGATGACTTCAGCTTATGACTTGACTTTCTTTGTTCCGTTTTTTTTTTTACTTAGAATTCACATTCGGGCCCACTTCATTTAATGTTCACATATTACAAATTTTCTTTGACATGTCGGCTACCGTTGATCTTATCACATTCTCCACGTTTCCACTTCGTGTCGTTCCTGTTCGTATTATCTCGATTTTTATTATACACAAAAAACAAAATAAAAAAATATCTTCTGGTCCTCTATTTGCGATATCTAGCTTGATTTTGTTTTTATTTGACTTCAAATTCAGCGTCGACCAATTAGAGCCCACTCCATTTAATGTTGTTTAACTACGTACGCAATATCTAACTTGCTTTTTTTTCCATTTGACTTCAAATTCAG